ACAGTGTCAGCAGGTGAGAGTGAGGGAGCCCTGAGATTCTTTCTGACCACCAGGAAGGCATCTCTGTCCTGTCAGTTTTGGTGTCTTTATTTATAGGTCAAACGATAACATGACATCAGAAAATGGAATTTTTACAGTGGATAGTTCTCTGTGATAAGATGCTTTGGAAAGTGTACAGAAGGATTCTTGCAGAACTGCCCCAATTATAGTGAGGTTGAGTAACTAAGAAAATAGCAGGGTGTTCTTAGTGGAAAACAGGATAACATACACATTTTAATAACACTAAGATAAAGTGATAGGTTAAGTTGTAGATACTCTTATCGATCCTCATCATAGCTGCCAGTGTAAGGGAAGGTGTTTGTGGAATGTAGGCCTTAGGGAAGGGACTGCTATATATCATCAGTTAGCAAAGGTATATGTAGTAACTTATGTTCTGCCCTTATCTGTTCTTTCTCTCTAAGTTAGGTTTTTTGTCTCTTACTTAATTGTCCAGTTATATTCCTTAAGGCACCGGAGAGCCAACCATACCTTTAAAGAGTAACTTTAAAGTTTAGCTCATTTCCAATACATAGAATAACCTCTTCGAGTGCATTTACCTTTGTGTCGAGTATTTTGTCTATGATTTCTTGAATAGCTAGGGCATGAGAAACATTTTTGCTTAGTTGATTTACATGTTGAGCTGTATGAACCTCTTGGACTAACACAATGGTAGAAACAGAACTGTACACATAAAAGTCAATCTTTGGTGAGTAAGGGTCATTAGCCTGTTTATAGCTCAGGGGAAGTATTGAGGAAAACAGGACCTGCCAGAGACACAATGTCTGTTCCCATAATCACAAGAGAAGAAGTTCCTACAGTAATTTCCTTCACAAGGTGCAATCATCATACCAGGGCCAGAATAAGGGGACAGGTCACTCCCGATACCAATCAAAAAGGTGCCTTGGGGGTTGGTGCTCAAGCAGAAATATTTGAGTGAGGGTGGATATTGGTCATCATCTGATGGCAAGAGACCATGCAAACTTGCCTTAACCTCACAAGGAGTTTTCTCGACTAGTGAGTTCAGAATGGCTCCCAACACTAAAACAATCTGATATTTCCTTAAGAAAAGATTTACTTAGGTGTTTCTGAAATTAAAATTTTTAGTCACTTGGCTTAGAGATATTTTCCCCACAAACCTCTTATCTGCATGTGTTACTATTTTGCTTTGCTATGAAAAAAAGTAAAAAGTAAAGGGAAGGAAGATGCTAAAATAACTTGGCAAATTTTCATCATAGAAGCTCATTACAGGAGCCTAACACTTTTGGAAAATATTTGACTAAGTAACTGAAAGAGATTTTACTAAGATTAGGTGGAAGTAAGTTTGCAGTGTGTGTGTGTGTATGAAATACTTTTTAGTATTTGTCTCACCTCTTAAATTTTTAGTCAGCTGTGTTTCCTGGAAGGACTTCTCTCTAATCTGGTAAAATGAAAATCTATTTACAAGCATTTGGGAATGACATGAAAGAGGCTCTTATTTTTCTAGAAGTTGTCATTAATTCTTAGGAGAGTATTAAACAATTAGCAGTATGGGGAATGTACAAACAAATACAGAAGTACTCACCTGAAGCTCCTAAAGCAGTAGATTCTCAAACTTGGCTGAATGCTGTAATTACATGGGGAGCTTTCAAATATATTGATGCCTGGGTCCCAGCCTTCAAAGCCATGTTTTAATTGATCCATAATGTGGCCTGGGCATTAGAATTTTTAAATCTCCTCAGGAGATCCTGAAATTCAGCCAAGTTTGAGAGCCTTTGCCCTAAAGAAACTTTCTTGGATCTCTTTCTCTTATCACATTTGCCTACAGTAATTCGAGTGCTTGCCCCCTTCTCAGCTTTATGACCTCTTCTTCAACATACAATTGCTACGTTCCTCAATAATGAATTTTTATGAAGTTTATTCCCAATTTCACACATTATTAACAGAGTAGGTGTATGAAAGCATTAATGGGAAAACATTTAGTAAAGGCATGTATATGATTGGATGGACATACATTAAATGGATCTATCCATTTATGGATACTCTTGTTATGTTACTCTTGGAAAATATGTTGCCATAAATATTAAACTCCAAAGTAATATTTTGTATCTCTCTGGGTTAGTCAACTGTTTGTTTAGTAGGGTCTTGGGTAATGGAATAGCTGCTATTTATTCAAAGTGTTCCCATAACAAAAACAATATGACTTATTACCAACTCCTTTATGTGCATTGGGTGTGTGTTGGTCCAAACCAACCCCAAATGAAAACTTTTGTGGTTAGTTAATCACCTAAACATGCAGGCAGTAATCAATTTGTAATGGTATTTTGAAACATTTTGAGGCTGATTTAGATATGGGGAAGATGTTATTCTATGTTGTCTAGCATGCAATTGTCTCTTTATTCGGGCAAATGGTTTCATTTCTCTGCTTGTCTCTATTAGCAAAATAGAGATGGTATGACCAAAAAAATATTCAAATGTTGAAGTCCTAACACCCACAGATGAGGGTTTTAAGAGGTGAGGCATTTGGGTGGAACCCTCATTTAAGCTTCTTACAGAAGATACCCTACAGAACTCCCTGGCCTCTTCTACCATTTGAGGACACAAGCTATGAACCAGGAAGAGGGTTTTCACAAGGACACAACCATGCTGGTACCTTGATTTTGAACTTCCAAGCCATCAGGACTGTGAGAAATAAATTTCTGTTGTTTATAAGCCATCCATTCTGTGGTATACTTATAGCAACTTGAATGGACTAAGGCAAGAGCAATTAATTCTTTATAAATAGGGTACCCAACCACCCCAAATTGAGGGATTTCCTGGGCAAACTGAGATAAATTTGTCGCCTTAATTAATATAGTGAAAATTAAGATTTTAAGGATATTTTAACCTCTTGAATGAAAAATTATTCATATGTTATGATTTCCTGTTACCAAATCATATATAAATTACGAGAGTAAATGGAAGATTAGTGATTCTTTTTTTTAAAAAAAAAATTTTTTTTTAATGTTTACTTACTTTTGAGAGAGAGAGAGACAGAGTGTGAGTGGGGGAGGTGCAGAGAGAGAAGGAGACATAGAATCTGAAGCAGGCTCCAGGCTCTGAGCTGTCAGCACAGAGCCCAATGCAGAGGTTAAACTCATGGACCGCAAGATCATGACCTGAGCCAAAGTCGGATGCTTAACTGACTGAGCCACCCAGGCACGCCTAGTGATTATTTTGTGAGCCTAGTGTTATAACTTTCCCTTCAACTTATCATATTTTTTGAATATTCTTCAAAAGATTTTGCTAGTGGTACTCAAACTTCACCTTGAGAAAATATGTTTATTTAATGCATAATTTCTAGATTTTGAGAAAGAGATAATAATGTCTAAAATTGCAGAGTGTTTTGGTGCTAAAATGGAGAAAAAATTCATTTTCAGGTCTGCCTTGAGATTCTAATACCCTACTAACACAGGGAAGTTCTCATATTAAAATGAAATAGAAAAAAAGAAATAATAAAGTCCAATATGGATCTGTACTTGTCCCCCAAAACATCAAATGTCTCCACAGACAAATAGTGCAAAGAAAACTCATTGAAGGTGTTAGTATACTGATTATTTTTGAGATTCTTTGACGTCATCACACAGTAAAGATAAATTTATAATTTTACTCCAGAGAATTAGTGTATTTCAGTTAAACCAAAAACACACAATTGTAATAATGTGATTATCCCAGGTTCCTTTTGCTTAATTTCAGATTGTAGGGGTTGGTTTTCCATTATTTGGGCATTAAGAATAAGAAACACCAATTATTGCCTTAAAGGGAAGATCTGTTTAGTTAACAGATGACTTGTTCAGAAAATATCAAAAACAACCCTTTCCAAGAAAGTATGAAGACACAGAGACAAAAAACATACTAGGCATTGCCAATGTGTTAGATGACAGTGGAACTACTTCACACTACTTTTAGTTTAACAACAGTTAATGAGGCCGAGAGAGCTAGATTTAGACTAGCAACAATCCAGTGAGTGTTTGAGTAAATGCCTTTATTGTTCTGGGTCTCAGTTTATTTATCTGTAAAATGGGAGAGTTTGACTAGCCTGTGCCTGTGGTCCCTTGAATTATGAATATTCTATAATTCCACAGACTGCAATCTGGTAATGCCTTAGTGGATATATGGACTTCTGCCTTCCTTTTCTCCAGCTTTGTTTCTCTTTACCAGCCTTGGAACAATGGCTCACACTGCTACAATTTGAGGGGAAAAAAGCATCTTTTTGAAAGGACGAGGGGCGTAGTTTCTGTGCATCAGCCCGTACTCCACTTCAACATAATAATCTGGATCCTAATATTTGCATTTCAGATCTGAGACAAGTCACTTCCCCTTTTAGGGTCTTAGTGTCTGTTTGTAAGAGGGTTGTTTTTGCTCTGAATTCCCTTTTTTAAAAGTATATTTTTTAAAGTTTTTATTTATTTTTGAGAGAGAGAGAGAGAGAGAGAGAGAGACAGTGGGGGAGGAGCAAGGAGGTGGACAGAGTATCTGAAGTGGGCTCTGTGTGGACAGCAGAGAGCCCGACTGGGGCTCAAACCCATGAACTGTGAGATCTTGACCTGAGCTGAAAGCAGATGCTTAATTGACTGAGCCACCTAGGTACCCCTGACTTCCCTTTCCTAGCTTTAACTTTCTTTTAGTCCCTTAAGGTTACATAGGTATGTACGTGTATGAGATAGAATACTGTTTGGTCATCTTACATTCTCAGTGAGACTTTCTAGGCCTCCCTTTCTCTGTCTTCCCCCTTCTGCTGACAGAGATGTGGAGAGCCTCATGAGCCACATTGTGTCCCTTGGTTGCATGGCTGCAAAGTAATATTTCTGTCCAGTGTTTGGCTGCTGAGGACATGTTCAAAGCATTAAGGTCCCTTTCTTTCATGGACAATGCCCAGAGAATCCCTTATTAGGAAGAGACCCTGATATAAGAATGACAAATATGATGTGACATAAACAAAGACATAATGCAGCTGGTATAAAGTTTTATTGGCTACAAAACAAATACACAGGATGGCAATTTGAAGATTATAGTAGGAAAGTAGAGCTTTATGCTCATGAACTCATACTGTGATTCAGAAAGTGCAGCAATATATTAAGATCATTATGGAGTAACTTGTGACATTGTTCCAGAGGAAAAAAAAGTTTCTGAGTTTGATAACTCCAAGGATACCACTTAGGACTCACCCATCATGTCTGGGCAAAGATTTCTATTGGGGAAGAGTAGCTCTTACAATAGGCAGAAATTTTCATTGGCTTTATGCATACTTTTGGATCTCATTCACTTGAGAAAGAATTATTCTTCCATTGATGCTCTCCTGTGTGATGGCCTTGATCTTTGGAGCTGCAGATGCTGAGGGAAAAAGCAATGGAGAGGTCACTATCACACTCCTGCCACCATATGAAATACTTATTTCTATTTCCCTGCTCTTAGTACCTGAAGCTTCTCCATCCCTTCCAACATGATCTCTCAGCAATATGGCAGGCTCTGTTAGGGGAAAGAGATCTCGCCAAGGAAGGGTTTTTCATCCCACCCTCCAGGAAACAAGAGTGTGTGAATAGTGTCATCTTCTAGAGGCCAAGACTTTCATCCTAGTGCTTGATAAAGAATCTAGTCCCTGACTACACATCTTGGAGGAGACCTTCCTGCTTATGTGGGCTTTGTTTCACTTGTACCACAGATTCTATGAGCTAACAGTGCATTGAGCGCCATTCTGAGCACCTCGTTTAAAGATCTAGAAAGCATGAGGGATGGATGAGAAGCTAGGGATGTTTACCATGGCCACTGTTTTCAAAATTATGATTTATTTGAATATGTGCTTTGTTGACATGGTGGGAAACTGATTCTAGACCAAAGGGAAGACTTGAAATTAATAGAGACACAAGGAAAACTTTGTTAAAAATCAAAACTCTCCAAGAGTAGATTGGGCCACTCCATCAAGGAATGAATTCCCGCCCCTGGACATGGGTAAGGAGAGACTGAAGGACCATCTGCCATTATCTTGCAAAGTGGTATCCAGCTGCCCATGATGGTGCCTGGAACCCTGACTCTCTGGATGTCTAATACCTTAGAACACTTTTACCACAAATTGATCAGAAAAGTGCCACTTGTCTCAGACTGTGGTTTCTTAGAACTTTTCTGTGAGATGTTAAAAGGCAATTTGAGAAAATAGGATTCCCAGGTCAAAGATAATTGGCAACACCAAATTAAGTAAAGTAAAACTTTTGTTGTTTTTTTTCTCTTTCCTATTCCTTTTCTCCCCACAACAGTATCTGTTCCATGTTTAAAGTACTGAAATGCATGGCTATTCATTAAGAGTATAGTGGTACACAATAGCTAAGACATGGAAAGAGCCTAAGTGTCCATCAACAGATGAATGGATCAAGAAGATGTGGTTTATCTATACCATGAAATACTACATGGCAATGAGAAAGAATGAAATCTGGCCATGTGTAGCAACATGGATAGACCTTGAGGGTGTTATGCTGAGCGAAATAAGTCAGGCAGAGAAGGACAAATATCACATGTTTGCACATATAGGAGGATTAGGAGGAACTTGACGGAGGAACAAGGGGGAGAAGAAGGGCGGAAATGGTGGGGGAAAGGGAGAGAGGCAAACCATGAGAGACTCTTGAATGCTGACAAAAACTGAGGACTGATGGATGTGGGGGGGAGGGGGGATGGGCATGGAGGAGGACACTTGTGGGGATGAGCACTGAGTGTTATGTGGAAACTAATTTGACAATAAACTATTTGTAAAAAAAAAAAAAAAAAAAAAAAGAGTTTAGTGGTACATAGTATCCCCAACCATTTCTGGCCATGGAACACGTCTTTCCTAATATGCAATGAGAGTATCACGGAATACTGGTGTTCAACAGAATACGGTTTGGGAAATTATGTGAAATCATTTCTCTTAATTTCCTAGGAGTTTAGTAAATAGACTCTATAACTTAACAGAGATACAATAATATGAATGATTGTTGCTATCTACTTTACTGCTGGCAGAGAACTTGCATATATATTATTGAATACAATACTGAAAGCTCTCTGTTTTTCTCTGTTATCTACTTTAATTAAAAAATTCTTGGCCATTTGGGAGTAAAATAAAAATTGAACATAAGATATTTGGGAGTATACTAAGGATTATGACTGCTATAGAATTAATAAATGTGCTGACCCATTTTTAGAAAGAAAATTCAAACAATGAAAATATTTTTTACCTTTCACACTTGACTTTGATTCTTCCATTGTCCTATAAAAATGATAAGAGTTACAGCTCTTTTTAGCGTTAACAACAATCATAAAAACTCCTTCAGGTGAACTAACTTCCTTCGCCTACTTGTAAATTCATAGCTCTTTAATGAGGGTAATTGTCTGAGCTCTGTAGTCTCAAGGTCATGAGTTCATGGGAAAACCTTCCTGGATCCAGAAGAAAGTGAGTACCGCCTCCCACAGACCCTCGGGTCTAGGCAAGTCTATCAAACCACCTCTATCCTTTCAGTTGGCTGCAGGCTTTGCCTCCACTGAGATCCTTTCCAGAGTCTGGGTTTGAAGCTTAGAACCAGAAGGTTTGGTCTGATAGTATTTTATTTATATATTTTTATTTATTTTATTTTTTGGAGTTTATTTATTTAAGCAAGCAATCTCTACACCCAAAGTGGGGCTCGAACTTATGACGACGAGATCAAGAGCCACATGCTTTAATGACAGAGCCAGCTAGGTGCCCCTATTTATATATTTAAAAAAATTTCTGGGGCTCCTGGGTGGCTCAGTTGGTTAAGTGTCCAACTCTTGATTTCAGCTCAGGTCATGATCTCACAGTTTTGAGTTTGAGCCCCGCATCGGACTCTGCTGACAGTGCAGAATCTGCTTGGGATTCTCTCTCTCCCTCTCTCTCTGTCCCTACCCTGCTCATTCTCTCTCTCTCTCTCTCAAAATAAATAAATAAACATTAAACATTTTTTCTAACCCTTTCTCTTGGGTTATAGAATATATGTGCCCTCCTTTTTTTTTCTGGACAATTATTGTCATTTCATAAGTTGGTTAGAAGTACCAGATTAAAGAATCTAGACTTCTCAATATCTTATGAATCTTTTCCTGCTGTCAGGCTAAAATAGTCCCCCAACATTCCTTCCTTCCTTCCTTTATTTATTTATTTAGAAACCAAATTATGTACATTTCCAGTGGGAAACGCTATAGTCAAGCCTTCCTAGTTGTTTCTTTTTTCTAAGTTTATTTATTTATTTATTTATTTATTTATTTATTTATTTATTTAGAGAGCAAGAGAGACAGAGAGAGGGAGGGGCAGAGAAAGATGAAGAGAGAATCCCAAGCAGACTCTGAGCAGTCAGCGCAGGACTGCAGCTCCCCTGTGGGGCTTGAACTCATGAGCTGTGAGATCATGACCTGAGCCAAAATCAAGAGTCGGATGCTTAACCTCCTGAGCCACCCAGCTGCCCCACTAGTTGTTTCTTTCCGGAGATCTTAATATATTATTTTAATGATGGACCTCAAATCTTAGTGCCTTGGGAATAAGAACTGATTGATTCATATATGCTACTTAAATACAACCTGATCCAAATATTCAGGAGAAATTAATTATAAACCTTTCTTTCTCTGGAGCGATGCTTGCTCATGGGCGTAACAGGTATGAAGTCTATTAATACACGCACAGAAACTCCATGCCCTTTTCATCCTCCTCCCTGCCTGCCTTTGCCTTACCCCTCACTCTCTCCCTCCAGAAGCCGGTGGTAGGTGGCGATTTCCTTCTCCAGGTGGGTCTTGATGCCCAGGAGAACCTTGTATTCGTTGTTCTGACGCTCCAGGTCATGGCGTAGCTGCCTCAGTTCATCCTCGTAGTGGGAGATGACGTGTTGCATGTCCTGGAGCTGGCAGGAGAACCGGGCCTGGGCCTCTGACAGCATGTTCTCCAGAGCAGATTTCTGAAAGAGGAAGCGAGGGTTCTTGCACTAACTGACTGATGGCTTGATAGACTGAGTAGTTAGAACACACCGACCACCCTGCTAGGTGTCTCCATGGCTGCCGGGGGTGCGAAGGTAGGCAGCTGGTGGACTCCCAGGGTTGGGGCTTGGGCAGTGGGGAGTGGACTGGAGTCAGGACTTCTGAAGCCCATTTCTTGGTGGCAGAGAGCTCTTGGCAACTTGGCCGCATTCCTGTAATGTTTAGTGTGTGTGCTGTTCCTTGGGGGTTGGGCAAATGCCACCTTGCCCTGATCTGTTCCTTGCCTCCTCATGCGTACATTTTGTCTCTGGCTGAATGGAAACCTCCTGGGGAAATAGCAACTGGGACCCCTGTCTCTTTGTATCTTCAGTAGGGGCATCAGATAAAATAGAGGGCGCCTAGTTATATCTGAATTTCAGATGAGTGATGACTAAGTTTTTAGTACATGTATATCTTAAAAATTGCCCCTATATTGCATGGGATATACTTATACTAAGAAACAAGATAAAACAGAAAGCCCCCCAACTTTGCTGTGTATCCAAAATTCAAACTTTTTGTTTTTTATTTTCGGGAGAGTGCAAGCAGGGGAGGGGCAGAGAGAGGGGGACAGAGGATCCAAAGCAGGCTCTGTGCTGACAGGCTGACAGCAGCAGCCCCATGTGGGGCTTGAACTCATGAACTGAGAGATTATGACCTGAGCTGAGATGTTCAACCGACTGAGCCAGCCAAGTGCCCCCGAAATTCATATTTAATGGGATGTCCTGTATTTTAATTTTGGTCAGTGTGGAAACTATACTCCCAAGCCATACTTGTTGATTATGACAATGGCAACAGATTGTCATTTTTTTTTTCAAGGCCCTTCTCTTATCTACTGCTGTTTCTTTTATCTATCTATCTATCTATTTACTTATTTATTTTTGCATTTTATTATTTTTAATTTTTTTCTTAAATAGTTTATTGTCAAGTTGGTTTACACGTAATACCCAGTGCTCATCCCCACAAGTGCCCTCCTCCATGCCCATCACCCTCCTTCCCTGCCCCCCCCCATCAGCCCTCAGTTTGTTCTCGGCATTCAAGAGTCTCTCATGGTTTGCCTCCCTCCTTCTCCCCCACTGTTTTTCCCCTTCTCCTCCATAGTCCTCCGTTAAGTTCCTCCTAATCCTCCTATACGTGCAAACATATGGTAGCTGTCCTTCTCTGCCTGACTTATTTCGCTCAGCATAACACCCTCAAGTTCCATCCATATTGCTACACATGGCCAGATTTCATTCTTTCTCATTGCCATGTAGTATTCCATTGTATAGATAAACCACATCTTCTTGATCCATTCG